TGCATTATTTGAGAAATTATCTCTCATCTACCAACCATCCCATACGATGCAATTGAAAAATTACATAAAACCCCTACTGGCATCACCCAGTTCCTCTTACTTCAGATGAAAAGAATGACTTATGACAATGGAGCCATTACTATCTGGGTGCTTGCCAGTGAGCAAATGAGGAGAGGGCTGAGGGTGAACGTTAATGCAATTTCTGAATCAATTCTGCAGCAGGACACATCACTGTGGATCTGCCCTAAGCATCCTCCTAATACCTTCCAGATAAAATCCATCAGCAGAGAGGGAGGCAAACAGAGAATGACATTTCATCGAGCAAGATGAGCAACAGAGTAATTAAATCAACTGATATGATAGCTGTCTATGTACATAACAGAAGAGCAAACTGGAAGCCTGGAGAACCTGTGCAAAAATGCAAAACCCAGCTCAACATTTGGCTTCTGGTGGTGCAAATATGAATTTTTTTCTACGTCTTCTTTTTTTCTTGTGCTTTTACTTTGCCCCATTTCCACCAAGTATGGAACAGAACTGATGGTTTCCTCCTCTGTCTGTGATTTCAGCTAACAAGCACCAAGAGAGCGCTCAGCTGCCAGCCTAAGTAATTGTGCCTATAAAGAGGATATCCTTTTCCACAAGCAAAAGAGACTGTGCTTTGGAGATCAATGGTCTATAAATTAGAGACATAACAAGATGACTGTTCAGTCAGCTAAATAAAATATTACTTCACCATCCACATATATTACCGCACTAAATGTTTCTCCTGCCTCACCTCTGTGAGCAGCCATGGGTGCTCCTGAGCCAGTCGGTCAAAGTTGGTCTCAGGTGTCACGTTTGCATAGCGGAACCTGTTCTGGATGGCCGCTGATGTGCAGATGTACTTGTAGAGGAACTCCTTTCCCGTCTGCTCAGAAATGGCTTTGGCTGACATGACTGCTCGGGTGAGACAAACAGAGAGAGATGTATGAGGAGATATGCAGATGAGAAGTAAGGGTTGATACAGAAAAGCAAACATGTGGTGGATAGAAACAAAACTAAGCACAAGATGTTACATTGAAGCATGCTTTTTTTTGGGGGGGGGGGGGTGTTTTGTTTTTTTAAACTAAAAAATTATGCAAGAGTTCCCTAATGCACTGCTGTGCTCCCAGAACTGTCAAGAAATGGTCTGCTAACAAGATGACTGAAAGACAGCTCAGCGGTTTATATTCAGTGTGAGTAATAACAGACATACTTAACGGTAAAGCAATAAGAAACATGGTTAGAGGCACTATCAGGCCTTCTATCCTTCTGGACAATCACATATGAGGTTTGTTTCAACCTGACAGGACACGAACAGTAAAGCCAACCCTAATGTGATTAGTATGGGTTTGTTTCATCTGCACACTAATGAAGTCATGGGCAGTTAGTTATTTGCTCAACAACCGGATCCACACAAAAGCTCCAGCAGAGCAGGAGGAGAAATGACTAAATAAACTCACCTCACAAATTTACAGTTGCAAGATGAATTATATGATGATTATAAACAATAAATATGCAGCAAAGATAAGAAATAATCTTTGGATGCAGGACCTGCTTTCCTTTACTGACAAAATGTGACGGAAGTAAAGTAAGAAATTCAGGCATCTGTAATAACATCTGTAAAATTTTACTGCTAATGGGTGGGGCGTGAACTTTACACTTTTGCCACATGTTTCACTCAGTGAGGTCATCTCCACTGAAGTCAACAGAGGTCAAAACAGGACATCAGTGTTTGAGTTTTATAAGCAGCCTATTATGCACAGACACATCTGATTTCATAATACCAAGACCACAGCAAAGTAAATATGCTGATATGAAAAGTCATGAACAGCTTCAGGACTTAAAAATGAGAGAAATAATGTAGAAGCAGCAAAAATATAAGGAAACTAGTACTTCTGCAGCATCACCGAACCCATCTTCGATGACAGCTGTTCATTTTTAAACAGGAGAAAATCTCACACTGAAGACTTGCATTTTTCTTTGCATACTGTACAGAACATCTTGCAGAAGCACGGCATTAGATCTTAGCTTTTTTTTCTTTTTAGGTTCAACTTCAACTTACCGTACTGAAATTCTGACCATTTCCATTTCGAACTTGTTAGACATTTCAGTTTTACTGAGAAAATCTACGTATGTGCCTTCTTACCATCATTTCTTGGTGTCCATTAGATCCAATCTGTTTTAAGATCATTGAAGTTTTTAGTTTTTTAAATTTAATTTTTTATTTAAGCATTGTTATTTTAACTGCATGCCTTCACTTGTGTTTATGTCATACACTTCTGATACACTGACTGATGTAGTTGACCCTCCAACAGTGTGTTGGTAAACTGATGACGCTCTGGATTCTCCATGTAACCTTTCAGGGATGGAGTACCTGCTCAGTCTGTTGCTATAAGAGATTTAATAAGCTGAAAGCTCTGACGTCTGCTCGCAGTTCTCTGCGTGCTACACTGCGGACCTGGCAGCTATTTCTTTAACGGATTAATGGGACTGTCATGGAGCTTTCTCATTATTGATCACTGCTGTCTCTGAGTCACAACAGCACCGAGTCCAGACCAGCAAATGTGGTTCAAGCAAAGCTCATCGGGGGTCACATACATCATCTCATTTCTCTGTTGCACCGGACCTGTCAAAGGTGTTAAATATCACTGATCCACAGAAACACTGGTTCAGATTACACACTATAACCTAAATTAATAACAAAGGGTGATGGATGCCTGGGGAAGGGAGAACTGAAGCAAAACAAAAAGCCGTTTTAAAAGAATGCAATCCAATATCAAAGTTGGAGGTCATTGTATAATTTTTAGCTTTCATTATAACCCCACTAACTATTACAACAAAATCTTTCTGACACAGTTAAAGGACCGAGTTACTGATTGAGTCACACATCCCTCAGTGGAAGGATTTGGTCAGTCTGGTTCATTCATTTACAAACCGGTCAGACAGCCTCGCAGTTATCTGGCAAACATCCACATCACTACTCACTAAAGTCTTACTCAAACTTACTAAAAACCAGGATGTAGGAAAAGTACAAGTTAAACGTGGTTTGTGGACTGAGTAGTTTAACTTCTCTTATCAGACAGAGAGAGAAAACAATAGACAAATAGTTAAAGGAAGTTAGAAAGAAAAACCACAGACGCGTTTTTAAGTAACAAAGTGGCGTATTTTACCTTGTTTTTTGTTTTTATGTCGTCAGCAGCTGTATAAGTTTGTTATGGTCTGATGGGTGAATTTCCTCGGCAGTGTTGCTCCACTCTTGCCGCCTGCGGTGACCACTGGTGCGGGAGAACGAGGTTCCCAGTCAGTTTTGTCTCCATCGCCTATCTGCTGACAGGCTTAGCTGATGTTTCCTGGGCTCTGATTGGCTCTTTCCATAACGTACACTTTTGCTGCCTTCATGAACAGTAAGAAATATTACAACTAAGTTACGGAAGACACACTCGAGGCAAATAAACTGGTAACACTGTATATATGTAATTTAATTTTAATACATACTTTTTAATGCTTATCTTTTTGCTTCTGTAGCTATAGCTTTGATATTAAACGTTTTTAGCCCACGTGCGCATCTTTCCTACATTATTGTCTTTATTGATGGATGTGTGAGTGGGCAGTTTTATTCATACTGCACTTGAAGATAATCAGACAATTAAATAAAACATTTATAATAACATTTTAAAATATGAAGCATCGACAGAGATTAACCTTACACAGGAAAAGCAGGCATAATTACTAGAAACAAGAGGAAAGATTTCCGGGAGCACTTGAAGCTATCAATGGTTTTCTCACAAACCTGGCAGAGAACGAAAACAGTGCGATCGTGCACCCCTGACGTTGATTGGTTGTCATTGTTCTTTATCTACCCTGAGCCAATGAGGAAATCACTTGATCCAACACAACCAGCACATCCAGTCTTGCACAGAAAATGAACTAAGAGGTGAACTTTATGACATATAGAGCACCGGGTTATGGCCGAGTTTACCCATCCATGGTCAGTTATTTTTAGCTCAAAAGGTGCAGTGAAGGGTAAGCGCACTTTAGATAGCGGCATGGGAAAAAAAAAAATCAATACAGCTGGG